CACACCTCCAGAGGTGTCTGTGTGATCTGTTCATCTTCAGGGGTAACATGGAATATTTGTAACGCTTCCATGGGCAAACCAAACTGAAATCAGAGTTTTCTCTGTGATCTATTTATCTTCAGGGGTAACATGGAATATTTGTAAAGCTTCCATGGGCAAACTAAACCAAAATCAGAGTTTTCTGTGGGATCTGTTCATCTTCAGAGGTAACATGGAATATTTGTAACGCTTATATGGCCAAACTAAACCGAAATCAGAGTTTTCTCTGTGATCTATTTATCTTCAGAGGTAACATGGAATATTTGTAAAGCTTCTATGGGCAAACCAAACTGAAATCAGAGTTTTCTGTGGGATCTGTTCATCTTCAGAGGTAACATGGAATATTTGTAACGCTTATATGGGCAAACCAAACTGAAATCAGAGTTTTCTGTGGGATCTGTTCATCTTCAGAGGTAACATGGAATATTTGTAAAGCTTCCATGGGCAAACCAAACTGAAATCAGAGTTTTCTGTGGGATCTGTTCATCTTCAGGGGTAACATGGAATATTTGTAACGCTTCCATGGGCAAACCAAACTGAAATCAGAGTTTGCTGTGGGATCTATTTATCTTCAGGGGTAACATGGAATATTTGTAACGCTTCCACGGGCAAACCAAACTGAAATCAGAGTTTGCTGCTGGGGTTCCCAGCCCCCCCAGACCCCCCAGCCCCTGCAGGAGTCACCTGGTGAGGGCCAGGACCATCTCTGAGGACACGCTTGGGGACGGTGCCATCACCACCATGGGCTCCCCCAGCAGCATCAGCTCCCACAGCATCTGGATGTGGATCAGCACGGGCTGGAAACATCTGGATACACCGAGGGACAGAGCTCAGGATGGAGCTGAGCTCCCCCAGCCCTGCTCCCCTCCAGGAATTTGGGATCTAGGGTGGGCTTTCAGCATTCCACAGGGAATTCAGGTGTCTCCACCTGGGATGGGAATTCAGGTGTCTCCACCTGGGATGGGAATTCAGCATTCCACAGGGAATTCAGGTGTCTCCACCTGGGCTCTCACTCATTGCTTTTGTACAAGTTTAAAGGAAATAAATGCTCCAAGCAAAGTGAAGCAATCTGTGACCAGAACTCGTGGAATGGTTTGGGTGGAAGGGAGCTCAAAGCGCCTCCAGTGCCCCCCCTGCCACTCTGGGGCCTCCTCTGGGCTCTCCCCAGCAGCTCCAGGTGTCCCCAGGGCTGGGGCAGCTCTGCAGGTGGGGTCTCACCTGGGCACAGGGGCAGGGTCCCCCCTCCCCTGCGGGATCAGCCCAGCCCTGGGGGGCTCTGGGCTGGCTCAGGTCACCCCCAGCACCCCCAGATCCCTGTCCCAGGGCTGCTCCAGGCTCCTGCCCAGCCTGGATCGATCCCAGGGCTGCCCTGACCTGGGTGCAGCACCCTGGACTTGGCCTTGTTACACCCCAGGAGGTTCATGGGGACAGATGTTGGGGACAGATGTTGTTACACCCCAGGAGGCTCCCAGGGACAGATGTTGGGGACAGATGTTGTTACACCCCAGGAGGCTCCCAGGGACAGATGTTGCTCTCAGAGTGAGATCAGGACACCCCTGGACACCACAGGATGGAGCCAGGAACGGCACATCCTGCGCTGGATGTGCCTGGGACGCTCCCCTGGGGGATTTTGGGCAGCAGCTGCTCCCCAGCCCCTCCCTCAGCTCAAAGCCAGAATCCCAGAGGAGCTCCAGGGACGCAGCAGCGCTGGATTCTGCAGCACCCCGAGTTTTGGGGGGTGCTCCCAGCGGGGAGAGGGGCAGAGGAGCCTCTCACCTGAACAGATCCAGCTCATGAACGCTGGGGAGGACCAGGGGCGCTGGTAACAGGTTCTGGGGGAGGAAGGGAGACAGGAAAAGCTGTCAGCAGCTGGGAGGAGGCTGCAGCTCCAGCTGGAATCGCTGCCCAGCTCCCCCAGGGAACAAGGGGCTCACACCCTGCAGCTCCCCATCCCAAAGCCATCCCAAAGCCATCCCTGTGCCTGCAGCTCCCCATCCCAACCCCATCCCAACCCCATCCCAACCCCATCCCAACCCCATCCCAAACCCATCCCAACCCCATCCCAACCCCATCCCAAACCCACCCCAAACCCATCCC